GGAGCTCACAGTCTGATCTGCTGGCAAAGCTAGTAACGGTGGATAAATAATCGCCTAGTTGGAAGGTAAATGTATTGTCCCGCAGGGGGGGACATAGATCTAGACTCGGCAGCAAGCAAGACCTTATCTACCTGAATGTCCCTTTAACGGTACCCCAAAATAACGACCACCCCCCACTAAATACTGGCTAATCCTAATAGTCCACGTGGCTGAGGAAGGAAATGCTTAGCTAAAATAAGTAAGTACCAAATTGGGAAAAACAAAATCTAAAATAAAAATCTAGATGAATACAATGACTTCCCATTTCTTTTTTGAAAGTATTTCAAATGAAGTCGCATAGTAAGATAGCTGGTGACAATCAAATAAGAGGAAAGTTCCTGACGCGCGTTTCGCCAGTGGTAGCTCATTATTAAAGGCCATAGTGTGGCATATAAATAAACTTCATGTATGGCGAAATTTGGAAAACTGTACCTCTAATAAATCACTTACTAATTACATTTCTACTAACACTGAAAACTTCATTGGAGTCTTGTATTGTATGACGTAGAGAGAGCAAGCCTATCCTTAAATATGCGGTCAAGCTTAAAACATTATACTTGTACTTAAAAGTGTATCTATGACATTGGAGGTGCATTTTGAACTCTCTTGTTTTTTACCTGAATTTTGTTAACTCATTAAATCTTTCTCATTTAGTAAATACATCCCTGCAAATTAAATGTCGACTTATACTTTAAGTATTCACTAGGGTTAACAGCCCTGAAATTGGTGCAGTTTGAGTGACCTATTGGTTTCTGTTATCTTCACTGGTAGGTGAAGGGGGATGAGGAAATACTCTGTCAACATAAAGAGATTGCAAATTAAAATTCACTTCTGATACATTTTAATTATTTTTCTCGCTGCATGCAATTCTTACAGAATCACAAAAGAAGCTTACTGTTGTTCATTTATCACACCCTCTATTCTTTCATTATGCCTTTATTATAACTGCATAATAGCTATCCAAACTCAAGGCCGTGCCCTCAATAGGATGTTTTCAACTATGTGGCTTTCTCCAAATATGCGGATGCTGTTTATTATATGTATAAGATAAGGGAAATAAATAAATCTGTTTCATTGCTCCTTTAAATACAACTCCCAAAAAAAATAATTAGAGAAAAATCATTTAGCATTTTATTATTAGAATAACAATTCATACAGATTGATTGTTAGTGAATTTTATTAGTTTTAGGCTTATAATTACAATTTATGTAGAAGTGTTAGTGAATTGTTTGTTACAATTTAATCAGCACATTGGTTTAATTAATATAACACATACACATAGCTTTTAAATTAACAAATTTAAAGTGTTTTTGGTTCTTTTTGGAAGAACAATTAAAATGTTTAGATTAAACTCACTTACAGGTCTCAGGGAGGGGAGCAAGGCTGCAGTGGAATACGTAATGCCTGCATATAACTGTCCTTGTAACTTTGTCTAGTGCCCAACGTCAAGCTAGCTATCTGTCTGTGACCGATAGAGAATGTGGGCATCGGAATCTACACTATTCCATGACCACAGTGTGCGAAGTCACAGACTGGAACCAGCACAACACTTGCAAGTATCTAATAAATACTGTATTTAATGCACTTGAGCAATGCAGTTAGAATGAAAAAGCATTCGTTATTTTTTATTATTATTATTTTCTTATGCCCCAAAAATCCTACCTCTTCTGCAAATTCTGCTTCTAAGCTGATCCACACTCCTTTTGCGCTAACATCATTGTTGATCCTAAGCAGTGCCATATCAAATACTGTTTATAAATAGGAATTGAGGACCAGATATTAGTAAATATAAAAATAAATAAAATACAGGATATTTTACAATTGATATGAATAAAGTAAATACTCACAAGTTAGGATAAGTACCACAATATGCATCTCGGATAGTTCAGACAAGTCCATAAGTTTTAAAGAAATATTGTTTCTTCTTGTGAAGATTTCACTACTGCTTTCTTCACCTAACTTTATCTAATCTCACACAGGACACTATTTTGCACTAGCAAGCAATTAACAGGGCAGGAAATAAGAACTTCTAAAGTAAACACAATCTGCACATACTATAGGTTTAAAATGAAACCTTTTATTCAGTGCATATAGAGGCTGTGTGAGTCACAGCCAAGGGAGGTGTGGATATGGCTGAATTTAGTATCTAAATGGCAAACAACTGAGTATTGAAGCTCTAGGGACATGATCTATCTATACCAATATTACTTCATCAAGTTTAACTATTATTTATTTATAGCATTTTATATACAGAAGTAAATTCACCAATGGGGTTATTCATTATACTGAGAATTGGCATTCGTACTGGGAAATTAGGGAAAATAGAAGAGTTGGAAAAATAACTGGGTTGGACAATTTTCGTAGTTCCCTTGTTAGTTCTCTCTTCGGTTTCAAGTTAAGCGAATAACCATGAAACTGTAGAACCTTTACAAACATTTGCGGGACAGGATATACTTCTGGCAGGGTCATTTTGTCATTTCACCCCTCTAATATTGATAAAACAAGTTCTATTGTTCTGAGCCTTAATTACACATATTTATCAATGACAGATTCTGTTAAAAGAACAGTCATTTCTTTAAATAAGTTGATTGATTCTATATTTAAAAAAAAGTTAGACAGTAAAGATAAGAAAAGTAAAAAATAAATCTGCATTTCCTAGCACACAGATTCAACCATTAATTTATTTTTTTATATGTGCCTGCTTAACACTGAGATGTTAGCACAGAACAGATTTCAAATATGCCAATATATGTTTCATTTGTCTCTCATTATCTAGTTTAAATAATATATATTCCTGGTTTATTTTCTTGGTTTAATGCAGCAGTTATGATGTAAAACAAGTAATCAGATAAATTCATACACATTTATATTTTTCCTTGTATGTAATTTTATATAACAAGGATATATTTTAGACATTATTGACAATTTATGTCTGACAATGTAAAGCTTGGAATCCATTTGAGAAATGTGCTCAATAGCTTTTCATTATTAATTGTAATTTGGATTCTAGTTGGCATTATATGTGTGCGTGTGTATATATAAATAATATATATAAATATCAAATAAATATAATCTATTATTATCTATATTATGAATGCTTAGATAGAAAGATAGATAGATAGATAGATAGATAGATAGACAGAAATATAGATAGAAAGAGATAGATAGATAGATAGATAGATAGACATATAGATAAAAAGAGATAGATAGAAATATAGATAGAAAGAGATAGATAGATCTCAACTCAGTAGCAATGTGATAGATCTCAACTCAGTATCAATGCAAAAGCATTTATTATTGATAAGATGTCAATCTGATCCATTAAAAAAAAATACTTTACAATATTAGCTGCAATTTACACATATTAATGTCTTAAAACTTTGTTATAAGGTTAAAATCTCAGTTTATGTGAAATACACAGTACCTTTAAAAATATGGTGTTGTACTATTAATAGAGCTCCCCCTAGTGGTTAGTAATTAAGCAACTTCAGGTCTATCAAAATACTTCAGCATTTTGCCTTGCCTCAGGTGCATGAGAAGAGAGAAGCTGCTCTTCATATGGTATAGGTGATAGATGGATAGTAGGTACCTTATTGCATAACTAAACAGAATTAGTGCCTGAAACAACCCTTCAACTACCAGATAAGTATATTAATCATTTTTTGGCAGTGTAATAGACTTTACTAATAACCATAAACCACACTCCCCTATATTATTATTATTGGTATTTATATAGCACCAACTAATTCCGCAGCTCTTTACAATATTATGAAAGGGGGGGAAATGTACAATAAATGAGAGAATTACACAGTGACACAGGAACTATAGGTAGATGAGGGTCCTGCTCAAACGAGCTTACAGTCTACAGCAGGGTTTTTCAAAGTGTGGGTCGCGACCCACTTGCTGATTTTTGGTGGGTCGCGCTGACCCACACCATGGACCCGGTAGACCGTCAGGGCCTCGATCCATGACGTCATATTCCGGCTCCCAGCTACAGCAGACAGCCCGCGCGGCAAGAGGGAGCAGAGAGCAGACAGCTCCCTCGCCGCGGCTGAGCTGGAGAGAGGCGTCCACCCCACTGGACCCCAGGGAAAAGTCCATGCCAGCACTCCAGGTAGGAGGCTGGGTGGACATTTTTTTTAAATTAAAATGTAATAATGTATTCTTGTGTGTGTCTGTGTGTGAGTGTGTGTGTCTGTGAGTGTGTGTGTCTGTGTGAGTGTGCCTGTGTGTGTGTGAGTGAGTGTGTGTCTGTGTGTGTCTGTGAGTGTATGTGTGTGTCTGTGTGAGTGTGTGTCTGTGAATGTGTGTGTGTGTCTGTGAGTGTATGTATGTATGTGTTATTGTGTGTGTGTGTCTGTGAGTGTGTGTCTGTGAGTGTGTGTCTGTGAATGTGTGTGTCTGTGAGTGTATGTGTGTGTGTCTGTGAGTGTATGTCTGTGAGTGTGTGTGTCTGTGTGAGTCTGTATCTGTGAATGTGTGTGTGTGTCTGTGAGTGTATGTCTGAATGTGTCTGTGAGTGTGTGTGTGTGTACGCATATATATATATAAATATATATATATACACACACACACACACACACACACGCAGAGCGCTATCTGAGTGCCGGCTCTGCTGTAAGCCTCCATGGGCCGGCGGGGAGACCAAAGATCTATCTCACCGGCCCACAGCAGCATGGAAGGAGGCAGGAGAGGACCCAGGGAGCTCTAGACAGAAGCTCCGCCAGGTTCCTCTCGCGATATCTGAGTGTTGCTGCGGCAACGCTCAGATCTCGCGAGAGTTAACTCTAGCCCCGCAGGCTAGAGTTCACTCTCCACTGGACCACCAGGGATGGCACATGGCAGCAAGGATTTACTAATCTGCCAAATCCCTCCAAACATACAGCACACACACATACAGCACCTAGACACATACAGCTCACACACACACAGTACACTAACCGCACCCTGCCAAACACACACAGCACCTTTAAAAAAAACACAACACCCTCACACACAGCACACTAACAGCACCCTCACAAACACACACACACACACACAGACAGCACCCTCACAAATACACAACACTCACACAAACAGCACCCTCACAGGACAAACATACACACACAAACAGCACAGTCACAAACACACACACACACACACAAACACCCTCACATCACACTAACAGCACCCTCACACACACATCACACTAACAGCACACTAACAGCACACACGGCGTGTGTTTGTGCTTTAGGGTGCAGACCATAATGCAATAGGCTGCGCACGCCTATGCCTGTCACTCAGCCACCGCCTTACCCATTCAACAATATTGGAATCCAAAAAATCCAAACTTAAAGATTGCAGTTTCTTGATGAGCCTTCTATGTGCAACAGTGTCAAAAGCCTTACTGAAATCTAGGTAAGCAATGTCTACTGCACCACCCTGATCTATAATTTCAGTTACCCAATCAAAAAAATCAATAAGATTAGTTTGGCATGATCTCCCTGAAGTAAACCCATGTTGTCTCCGATCTTGAAATTCATGTGATTTTAGATGTTCAACAATCATATCCTTTAACATGGTTTCCATTACTTTCCCAACTACTGAAGTAAGGCTTACTGGCCTATAGTTGCCCGACTCCTGCAGGATGCAGGTTGCCTAATTCCTTCATTGCTGTGTGTTTAGGGTTTAAAGGCCAAAAGTCAATTATTTTTTCAACACATTACATTTCTCCATACTATAGAATGAAATTAGAAAAACGCCTACTCTAAAACAAAAAAGGTATAAAAAGTACAGTAAGAAGGGCTTAGAACCTGAAAAAAGGTCTAAACGCTCTAGTATTACAACAATTCTTAATCATGGATTCTGTCCGAAAATTTACTTTTTTTAAAATACAATAAAATTCAGACTCATTAAATAAATGTGAAGAGCATCTATCAAATCAAATAAAATATTCAGAGCTTTGTAACTGTGGAAGAATATCTTTCTCATTATTAAAATGTCCCTGCCTTTTCATAAAAGATACATTAAGTATTAAACAATGTGTTTGCTTCTGCCACGATTCACTTATTTTGAATATTAAAACTTTTAGTACTTAATGTTTGGAAAAAGTAAGCTAAAGGGTTAATGTAGCTTCCGGTGCGTTGTAATGATCGTTGGCCATCCAATATAGAATTCCACAATGTGTTTTATAGAAGGTGATTTTGCTTAAAGCTTTCTGGAGCTATAATCCGGGCATTGCTTTCAATATCGGCAGCTAACACACTACAACGCCTGGTTTCTGTATCGTTGTTCTGGGTCTGTCATTCTATTAAGTACTATATCAAAGGAGCTGACCGTATCTATTTCAACAAATGAAAACCTTCTCTTATATCTGTAACCAGCTGTCTAAGCTTTGTAACTTTGTAGTTTTTCGTTTGTGTGTGATCAGGGAAACTATATGTGTTAATCCAAACTTTTATATCTTCATACTACATTAACCCATAATGTGTCCTTTTAACATTAACCCTTTAACCTTTCATTCACAATTGTTACAAAACAGTTTCATGTTTTTAAAACGTGTTCTGAACTAGAATTTAAATTATGACTAAACAGGAATTTGTTAATGCATATTATCTATCAAGTTTTCATAGGGACACGATAGATATTAAATTTGGAAATAGAACTTCTACTTTAGCTGTATCTTTAAAAAGCGAGTTTGGGACCCAGGTAAGTGGTACGAACTCTGGGGACCTAGAGGTGCTTCATATAAGCACCTACAAAAAGCACTTTCTAGATGATCTTGCCTCTGATTTTGGAAAACAAAATGCTGCCACCTACAGATAAAAACTAGTATTGGCACTTTGAGGTGTATCTTGATAGGCTGATAACAGGCTTTACATATGCAGTTTTAATTATGATTTGTTTCATTTTCTCTTTTCTTGGTGACAGCAAAATTAAGTACATAGATCATACACACCACCCTAACAGAAAACATACTAATAGAAAAAACAGCTAAAAAAATCTAAAGGTTCCAGTCAACTAACAATTCTCTTTGTCTTTCCATGTTCTGCATCGTATGTACACACACACATTTTCTTTCTAGCAGGGTTTTTTAACTAAATTGGAAATGGCCAGGAATTCAAAATTAATTCAGAGTGAAAAGTAAATTAAGGCCAAAATTGCCAAGCTGGAAAAATTCTCTAAGTCAACTATGTTTCCATGTTGGACTATTTTGGCCTTACTCTTGAATTTCACTTTGAATTCCCGACAATTCTCAATTTAGTGAATAACCTTGTTTGTTTTCATTAATATCAGCTCAGTGCTATAAACCTTTGACCGCAATGTTAGAAATATAGATCTACGAGAAGCTGTTACAGGATTATTGAAGCATTTAGAATTGCTATCTATGCTCACACAAGATATAAATTGAAGGAATTCATATAAGAAAACAAGAGGCCAAATGACCTTCTCGCTTACTGTTGCTTTATGTATCAAAAGAGAAGATTGTAAAATGTTTAGGGCATGGATTACTTGGATTAAGTGTATCTCTATGCTTTTACCGTTTGCAGTGCAACATATATTAGCATTGCTATGGAAAATGTAGAGGGAAACAGATCCGTTACACAACATATATTTCAATCTCGCAGAACATAACCTTCTCTCATAAAGTATGTATAGCATTTCTCACTATGTTTATATTAATAACTAGTTGGAGGTTTAATCGTTCCAAGTAAGAAGGTAGAGTTTATAAGGGAAGACTGGTCTCCCGATGTTCAGTTAAAGGACCACTATAGGCACCCAGACCACTACTTTCATCAACTTACTATTAGAGTTGAGCGAACCCGAATTGTAAAGTTCGGGTTCGTACCGAACATTACGATTTTTGGACTCCACACGCGAACACGGACATATCACTGTATGTTCGGGTTGGAGTTCGGTGTTCGGCGATTTAATGGTGCGTTTTGAAAGGCTGCAGGGCAGCCAATCAACAAGCATTTGACTCGTGTGCCCTTAGAAGCCTACTAATGGCATGGCTGTGATTGGCCAGTGCAGCATGTGACCCAGCCTCTCTATAAGCTGGTTACTTAGTATTATTAAATTATGTCCCTACTTGCTATACCGCAAGTACGCGAGTGGGGTCTTTTAAACTAAAACTCGCAATGCGCAAGTGGGGGCTTTTAAACTAAAGGAGGACCTATTGCCCCTCCCAGCCCCCTCCCCCGCTCAGGGGTGGGGGCCCTAAATACCAATAAGGGGGGCCATAAATAAAATTGGGGGGGGATCTAATGTCCTCCCCCTGGCCCCCACCCCTGAACGGTAGGTGGGGGCCATAAATAAGATTTGGGCGGGGACCTAATGTCCTCCCCGCTGGCCGCCACCCCTGAGTGGTGGGTGGAGGCCATAAATAAAAATTGGGGGGGGGGAGACACCTAATGTCCTACCACCTGGCCCCCACCCCTGAGCGGTGGGGGGGGAGTTATTACTATGTGTGTCTGGTCTGGTGGGGGGTGAGTTATTACCATGTGTGTCTGGTGGGGGGGAGTTATTACCATGTGTGTCTGGTGGGGAGTTATTACCATGTGTGTCTGGTCTGGTGGGGGAGTTATTACCATTTGTGGTCTGGTGGGGAGTTATTACCTTGTGTCTGGTGGAGTTATTACCATGTGTGTGTCTGGTCTTACCATGTGTCTGGTGGGGAGTTATTACCATGTGTGTCTGGTGGGGGGAGTTATTACCATGTGTGTTGTTACCATGTGTGTCTGGTGGGGAGGGAGTTATTACCATGTGTGTCTTGGGGAGTTATTACCATGTGTGTCTGGCAGGGGGAGTTATTACCATGTGTGTCTGATGGGGAGTTATTACCATGTGTGTCTGGTAGGGGAGGAGTTATTACCATGTGTCTGTTATTACCATGTGTGTCTGGGGGAGTTATTACCATGTGTGTCTGGTGGGGAGGGAGTTATTACTATGTGTGTCATGGGGAGTTATTACCATGTGTGTCTGGCAGGGGGGTTATTACCATGTGTGTGTCTGGCGGGGGGTAGTTATTACCATGTGTAGGTGTGTCTGGCAGGGGGGGAATTATCACCATCTGTGTCTGGCAGGGGGGGGTTATTACCATGTGTTTCTGGCAGGGGGGGGGAGTTATTACCATGTGTGTCTGGCTGGGGGGAGTTATTACCATGTGTGTCCAGATTGACTTCAATGGAGTTCGGGGTCAAGTTCAAGCCCGAAAACTGACTTTTTTCCGAAGTTCAGCCGAACCTGCCGAACCCGAACATCCAGGTGTCCACTCAACTCTATTTCCTATCCAAAAAGCTCTAGTAGAGAGTCAGAGGATGAAGACCAGAGATAAATGAATCACAGGTGGCAAAACCCAGGCTGGAAAGTGCACCTGTCACTGCTATATTACACTAGCTGAACTACTATATCTGAACATGTGTATAAAAGTACATGTTTACATGGAAATACTCTGTTTTTTGGACTTAAGCCACTACAAATAAAATGCTTGTACCTACTATTAGCGAGTAGCGGCTAGTTACCAGCTATAACATTTTAAAGGTAGTGTGACAGAATGTTGGGGATGGTGGTCAGGGGTGTATATCTGGCACCCAGACCTTTGCGCAGCCACTATGTTGTTATTTGGGTCCCTGGGGTGGAGTATTCGGAGAGCTGGGTGGGACGATTATCCACCCCACTGTCATGTGCATGAGTCCAGCCCAGGCTTTCTGAGGAGTTCTGGCTCACTGCCTAACAAGGTCACTAGCCTCACTTGTAGGGGCTGTGAGCAGCTTTATAACTGCTGTTAAAGCAGGGTGGAGTGGGGGAAAGTGTTTTGTGGAGAAAGAAAGTTTGCTGCTTGTTGTATCCTGTTGTATCCTGCTACTTCTTAACAACAGAAAATAAACAGGCCAGAGGCCTTTGAAACTGGACTTTGTCTTGACCTGGCTTCCTTACTCTAGAGGGCTGTGCAGTTGCCAAAAGATCCCCGACAACCACACACAGGGAAGTAAGTTTGTCACAGTAGCGACAGGAAATTACCAGATCCGGCTACTAAAAGCTAACTGCTAAGTAGTGGCCAATAGCACCCATTAATTTCTATGCATGTATACTTACCCTCCTCGCTGAACCCGACCGGGGGTACTGCCTGACAACCGAGGCAGTCCCCCTGCAGCCAATCCCGCAAAAGCCAAGTCATGTGACTGCGATGCCACCACGACCACATGAC